CCCCCCCCAAAAAAAGAAGAACCCAGCATCTTCTCCCATTAAATATTTCTTCAGCCTCCCCCCTCCCTCCCCAATTGCTAGAGAATTGCAGAAATAATCCTGTTTGACACAACTTTAACTTCTCTGGCTCAATGCTAATGGAAGCCTGTGAATTGTAGCACCAGAGCTTTGCTCTACAATTCCTTGAATTCCATAGCCTTGAGCCAGGGCAGTTAAAACGGTGCCAAACCTGGTTATTTCTGCAGTATGGATGCAGCCCTAAACTCATCAAGCAATGTCAGCGTAGTAGAGGATCGACCACCCTGCTTGCAAGATTGGTCTGAGGCTGCATCCGCACTGCAGAAATAATCCAGTTTGACACCGCTTTAGCTTCCCTGGCTCAATGCCATAGAATTCGGAGACCTGCAGTTTATTGTGGCACCAGGGACCTCTGGGAAAGAAGGCTACATGTCTCACAAAACTACAAACTCCATAGCATTGAGCTGTGGCAGTTAAAGTGGTGTCGAACTGGATTATTTCTGTAGTGTGGATACAGCCTGTATTGTATTAAATCCAAGCGTCCCCCGTGCTCTTAAAAAACGACTTCAGACGTCAGATCGGGATCTGAAGCCCCTTAAACGCATTTCTCTTGCTGGCTTCTTTGGTCTCCTCTGGCTCTCCACCATCTTTCCAGGAGCGAGGGTTATTTTGGGGTAAACCGCCTCCACTATGAGGACAGGCGGTATATGAACCTCCTCGAATAAAGGGACCTAAAGTCATCCAGGAATGTGGTGGCAGAGGGAGGATTTGAACCCACGACCTCCCTCTTCTTGCACTGGCGCCACTGCAATGATCCAGAACACACTGCAGAAATAATCCAGTTTGAGAGCGCTCGAACTGCTCAGTGTTAGGAAATTCCGGCAAGTGTAGTTTTGTGAGACATTTAGCTGTCTCTGTTAGAGAGCTGTGATGCCACAATAAACTATACTTCCCAGGATTCCCTAGCACTGAGCCAGGGCTGTTAAAGCGGTCTCAAACTGGATTGTTTCTGCAGTGTGTTTTGGACCGATAACCTCACCCCATGTTTTCTTTTCTGTTTCATTTTAATGACTCCCTTGCTTCCACCTTTGCTGAAAAGCAAAGTATTGTTGATACTCATGAAGATGTTTTTCCTCCCCTTAGTTGTGAGATGATGGTTGAAATATATGTTTTGTGTATTTGTTAAATTTTACAACGAAGGGTATGTCATCCCATACATTTTCCCTCAGAAACAAAGGCTCACTTTGTTCAGTGGGTTTTCCTCTCTTGTAAATGTATTTAAGGGTGACAGATCTAAAAATTTACAGTATTTTCATATTAGGCATAATGTACAATGAAATACAGAAGTCTCTTTTTTCATCATGACCCTTTTTTACTTTTATTTTTTTTGGGGGGGGGGGGAATACATTTAAGCAGGAGATATTTCCAAACAACAGCAATATAAAATAAAATAATAAAATAAGCAAGTCAATGCAAAACAATGTCAAAACAACCATTAAAATGTCTGAAAGGAAAATTCTGATTTCTGTTGATTTTTTAAAATATATAATAATTCATTACTATTATAATATGAATATATTTTGTATTATATATTATATGAATATATAATGGCGGGGCTCGGGGAAAAACCCTAAAAATCAAATACATCTCTATGTTAACACTATCCTAACCGTGCTAAAATGCCAAAAAAATCTTCTCTTGAAAAAAAATGCTATTTTAAAAAATCTTTAGGAACGTGAGAGTGAAGAATATCCTCGGCTTTTTAAAATGCGGCAACGATTTCAAGAAAACACAATCCTTTTTTATTTTTATTTTGTGTTTTACTATAAACTTTATTTGAATTGAATCGATAGACTCCTGTTTGTTTGTTTAAGAGTTATAAGGCAATGGCAAACCCTTTGGAACGAATCTTGCCGCGAAAACCTCGGGATAGATCCGCTTTCGGATCGCTATATAAATCGGCAACGACTGAAAGTCAACTTCGTAGAAGTTGTCGTTGTTTTATTGTTATTATGTTCCTTCCTGTATGGAAACAATCTTTATCCCCAAAAAAGGTTTCGAAGGAAAAGACCTTAAGGAAGAATAGAGGTGGGGAGGGATTTATAGTCCAACAGAAAAGAAGAGCTGGAAAACTTGCGCCGCCAAAGGAACGAAAGAAGGAACGCGGCGCCTTGGATTCCATGGCGACACGTTACTTTTGATGAGCATCGTTCCATCGGAACGCGGCTTTGTCACAACGTTCCTTTCCCCACCTCCAAGTTCTTTTTTCCCTTCCACCAAGTAACGCTGGAGATTGCAGGCGGCATCCTCATGGCAGAAAAATAATCCTCTTTGACCCCGCTTTAACTGCCGTGGCTCCATGCTGTGGAATTCTGGGAGTTTTAGTTCGTTATGGCACCAGAACTCTCTGACAGAGAAGGCTAAATGTCTCACAAAACTACAAAATTCCATAGTATCCAGCCACGGCAGTTCAAGTGGTGTCAAAGCGGATTATTTCTGCAGTGCGGATGCAGCGCCAAACAACTCTTTAGGTTGGATCTATGCCCTTTTCACTTTTTAATATTATTTTTATTGTATGCCTCTGAGGAGGAGGGCGGGAAGAGAGAAATCTAGATCAAGTCAGGGAGCGAAAAGAGGCTGAGTCTGGTGGCCTAGGATTGTTTGGAAACCATTATTA